CTCGCTCTTTTTCTCTGTCTATCTGTCTCTCTTTCTCTCTCTCTCTCTCTCTATTTTACATACTCTCACATTCACGCTCTCTTTCATTCTTGCATTTTCTCTCACTTCCTCCCTCCCCCTCTCCTCCTCTGCCTATACACACACAGACATATATATATATATATATATATAAAAGTGAACATAGAAGTCAACACTTAGAGCCTCTAAGTGTTGACTTCTATGTTCACTTTTATATTTACACACGCCTATCTCTGATATTGAGCACTTTATCCCATAAATATAGCACACCTTAAGACTATATTTTTTTATATATATATATATATATATATATATATATATATATATACTTTTTCTCTCACACACACACACACACACACATATAGAGAGAGGGAGGGAGGGTAGAGAAAACTCAAATGGGCAAATTTTTATTTATAGATAAGAGTGCTCAATAACATGAGACAAGAGTGTTTCAACACGCCAATGTTCATTGCTGTTCACACTGACTTTCTCTCTCTTTCTTGTTCTCTTTCTCTCTTTCTCTCTCTCTCTCTCTCTCTCTCTCTCTCTCTCTGTAGTGTTGCAGCTCAGACCAGACACCAGATTCATTCTCAGGGTGCCGGTTCTAATCAAACGCCTGTGGCTTAAAATATATCTCTTTGTCCAGATTGTTACCCACAAAATAAAACTATGAGATGATTGAAGCAGTAGACAAATCCATGTAATCTCCTGTTGTTGATGAGCAAAGCAGAGGAGAGGCAAGTGGAAGGGGAAAAAGTCTAATGAGTATATCTTCCTGTTCACATTTTATTATATGGTCTCTTGTCCCTCTCTGTGACTGTTACTCTTAGGAACCACTGTCTTATAGGGTACAGCGATCTTTTTCCTGTCAGCTCAGTCTAAAAAAGTCATTCATCAACAAATTCAGCTGAAAAGAAATTTTAAAATTCCCAGCACCCCTCTGCCATATGCATGTGCAGTCCTATCAACATAACAAAATTAATGTGTTGAAGGTTCTGAAGGATGAAATGCATAACAAGTAAACTTTTTCCACTTTGTCATAAAATTTACCCAATACTGTTCTTGATATATAAAAACATCTCTATCTCATATATATATATATATATATATATATATATATATATTAACAGGTGTAATATTGGAGGAATCAAGACTTTTATCATACATTCTCAGTTATGATGGTCTGGTCATGTCTTGAGAATGTCTGATGACAAGATACCCAAGATCCTAATGTACAGCCAGTTAGATCAGGGCAACAGGAATGTAGGACGCCCATGGCTAAGATACAAAGACAAGCTGAAAAGCAACTTGTCAGCAGTCAATATACCACATAACACCCTTGGGCGCTTAGCCTTGGAGCGGGTAGAATGGAGATCAACATGTTTTAGTGGACTCAGCAATTTTCAATCTGCTTCTCTGAATCATCTTCAAGAAGTGAGAGCAAGATCTAAAAGGTCAGACAATCTAACAGTGATTTCATCTCACAATCCTCACACTTGCTCCATATGTGGCCTCCTTTGTAAATCACTAGCGGGTCTAAAATGCCACTTAAGATTATCGCCCAAAATTTCATAACTGAATCAAGTAAGGTGTCAGATCCTCATACGTCGAAACTGACGGGAGAGTCTGTTAGTATTATTCTATATATATATATATACAGAGATAGATAGATAGATAAAATATAATTTTATGGTATGCTATGTAGGGTAAAAGTTTTCATTACCCTGTTTAGAGCATGTGTAAATATAAGAAGTGTAAATGGATAGGACATGTAATCTGAAGAGATAATAATGATGTAATCAATATGCTCACTTTTCACACTACTTTAAACAAAAGGTTAGACAGGATAGAAGCTCCAATCTACAAAGCACATTAAATTCCTAACAACCTTAGTTTATAAATCTCAAGAGTATTTGGAGTCCAAGAAACTGTGAAAAATGATCCCAATTCCTGCAGAATCTAAAAAAGTTTTATTCATTTCTCAGATATGAGTTAAGTTTTACAAATGACTTTTGTACTGACAGTATATATATATATATATATATATATATATATATATATATATATATATATATATATCTTTTGCTATGTTCATTTTTTATTGTTTATAGGACTGAATGTGTAATTGCAGTACATGTCTGGCTGGCTGCTCTCTTTATTTTTGCCCTAAGTGCATCCCATTACAAGCGTTTCAGAAATAGAATCAATGATACAAAACAATCAATTTTAATAAACAACCAACCATTGACGTCAATGTCTTTGAACTTTTTAAAATGAAGGAAATACTTAAATTTCTGAGATTATATAATGTGTGCCTATTTCATGCCAACATGCATAAGTTAAATCTCTGACTATAGAGTCACAGCTACAATACACTAGCTGTTGCTGTGGTGCTTCTACAGGTGAAGTTACTAGGCCTCACCCAACACTTATTTTTAAGTTTGATTTTTACAGCTAAATATGCAAATTAATCAAAAAAGCTACACACTGTACATTTGACTGTACATTATCCATTATCAATAACACATTTAGCAAAAAACATATTTCGATTCATATTATGTTTTTTGTCTCAGATGCTACCTGAATTTTACCAAAAACAAAATAACTTCCATGCCTGAAGATGACTGAATGTATAGTTGAAAGTACTTGCATATTATACAGCTTATAATTTTAAAAACAAGGATCATAACATTCATCAGTAGGTTAATGCACCTTTAAAATTTTGTTAGCAAAGAGATTTCACCATTTTATATCATTGAATTTACTAATCTACTTTTGTATGAATGATTCATTGTAATATATATATATATATATGTGTGTGTGTGTGTGTGTGTGTGTGTGTGTGTGTGTGTGTGTGTGTGAAATGTGTATATATATATGTTTGTGTGTGTGTGAAATGTGTATACATATATATTTTGTGTGTGTGAAATTTGTATATATATATATATATATATATATATATATGATGAAATATGCTTAAGGTTTGCTATATTTATGGGTTAAAGTGCTCAATATCAAGGATAGACCATATGTAAATATAAAAATATACATTGAAGTCAACACTCAGAGGTCACAGTCTGTTTCATGCTAAACGTAATCGACAGCTTCTTCCCCAGAAGTGTTGGAGAACAGACTCCAGAAAGGATGCTTTCTTGACCACTACAACCTTAATACAGGTCAACCATTATCTATCCTACATATAATTATTATCTACAATTCTTAACTCTTTTTCTTATGTCCAGAAACAACATTGTTCCATAATCCCTCTACCTTGAGTGGCTCTTGGGCATTGTATGGGGTAAACAGTAATGTAGAAAACATATGCATATTGCTTTTTTTCAGTCTCTCAATACTAGTCTCTTTCTCTATGTACTATGTCGGTGATAAGGTTCTCTAAATTTTCCTACCTTTTTTTTTGCTCAAATACTTCATGCTCTGTATACCCCCCTCTTTGTCTTCGTTATGTCATCCCTTTAGTCAAACTCATCAAATAGGTAACATTTGACCTTCCACCACTTCTGTCTTCAGTTCAAATAAACCCCATACCAATACACCTATGTCATAGCTAAAAACAATCTTTAATGCATGCTATCATGATATATAGTCATCTTTTACAAAACTGTCACATATTTGTGACAAGTTCTTATTTTGAAAAATAAAAATATTACACAAGTGAATTAAGATTTTTTTAAAAATTTTATAAAAGGGAGAACAAAAGATGAAACATGAACAATCCAAATTTGTCTTGCCAAGTTAAAATCATCTCACCATATTGATGGATATTTTTAAACTCCATTAGCTGCAGGGCCGACAGTTTGAAACAACAAAAATCGCAACATCAAAACCAAACTGCAATGATAATAATAAATGACAGGTCTAATGTCACCACTGTGACAATAGTGAACTCTCTCTCTCCCCCTCTCTCTCTCTCTCTAACTCTCTCTCTCTCTCTATCATTCTATCTATCTATCTATCTCTGTTCATATATATCAATCTATCTATCTATCTGTTGCTCTATCTATATATATATCATTCTGTTTTAGGCATTTATCCATCTTATTCTGTTTTTATCTATCTATATATCTATATATATATATATATATATATATATATATATATATATATATCATTCTGATTTTAGACATTTATCTATCCTATTCTGTTTTTATCTATCTATCCCTCTATCTATCTATCTATCTATCTATCTATCTATCTAACTTTCCTTTAATAATATTTATAAGCATAATAAATTATAACTTGTTTAAAATTCTTTTTACCATTGTTCATGCAATGCAAGGCCCAAGGGACACTCAAGATAGAAGGGTAATAAATGAGGTTGTTGTAAGGACATACAAATAGGGGGCAAGAAGTGAATATTAAGAGGATATGTAGGATAGATATCCTTTGACCCTTGACTTGGAGAGGTTAAGATTGTATTGATCAGGAACATATTCTCTCAAGAGTTTGTTCTAAAATGTAACAGTTCTGGAAATAAAAGGTTGTCTGTGTGGAACTTCCTCCTCACTAATGGAATATGAATGTAATAATGGACAGCCGACTCAGTGTATGTGGCATGGTGGGTCCTAAATGTAAAGGTCCGAACTGGTGCAACCAAGGAACGTAGTTTGATCAATCATGAAAATAATGATCGAGCAGTGAGAGGATAGTAATGTGTCGTCTGTGGGAACAGTTCATCACCCACAAGGCTGTAGAAAGGTTTTTGAACTCTATCAAAGCTGGAAGGGGAAGATTGGGTAGCTCCAGTTGAGATATAGCAGGAATTATTCACTTTTGGTTTGGCCTGGCTCTTGTAAAGATCGAACAGGAGGAGGAGCCAGGTACATATTTAGCCATTATGACCAAACACAATGCAGAAAATATTTAAAAATGAAAATCATAAGGGATTTGAAATTTAAAATATATCACTCAGTCCAGACCAAGAGACCAGATCTTTTCATTATAAACAAAGAAATGAAGTTCTGTTAGGCTGCTGAGGGAAACTGATGATTTCGAAAACTGAAGAAATTATCAAATCTTAAGTTGATGGTAGTGCCCATAATAATAGAGGTACTCGGAGCACTTTTGAAACACAGTTCAAAGAAGCCAAAAGAAATGTAAAGCTGAGTGAAAACTATTACTCGGACCTGAGATTGAAACTAGAAATTATTATGCTATCAATTTCATGAATTAATGGTTTAATCCTATAGGATATCGTGTCATGGGACAGGAGCCTAAAGACGGACAAGAAAATTTAAAATGTTGGTATTTGAATTTGGTTGCATAGTACTTTTGAGTTCAATTCCTGGTCCAGGTAGTACAGTGTTAGGCTCAGTGGAAAGAGGACAGAGAATTAATTAAACAGTAAGAAAAAAAAGACAAGACAAGATGCTCCTAGACATGAACAGCAGAATGAGACCAATTTATTCATGTACAGGGCATATGTCATTAAAGTCTGGACACATAGGCAGAAATGCATATTTTCAACACCATTCTATTGAATTGGAATATTAACAAATAATTTCTTCAATATGATTTCCATCATTTGTGGTGCAAAGGTTGATGCATTTTGTAAGATTCATGTGAACCCGATGCAATAACTCCACATTGCCATTAATTTTAGCACATTCACCCTTTATGCGTTCAATCAAGTGTGTTGCATCTGTGATTTTCATTAAGTACACCTTCTCTTTTAGCAGACCCCAGAAAAAAATTATTATTAGCTCATTAACCATTGACCCTACAAACTGTTTCATCTTCTCTTTGAAAAGGGTCTTGTTTTAAATCCTCACCATCCTCCTCATTAGAAAAAATGATGAGCCAACCATGCTTTGGGAACATTATTAAATAAAATAGGAATTATTTTCATTATTACATTATTCAGACTATTGTCCTCATCTTTGTCGCCATATTTATCACAACATTTCAGCCCTTCAGTATCTGTCTATATTTCTGAGATGACATGTTATGTACACTATTTACATTATTCGGACTATTGTCCTCATTCTTGTTGCCATATTTATCACAACATTTCAGCCCTTCAGTATCTGTCTATATTTCTGAGATGACGTATTATGTACACTATTTACATTATTCGGACTATTGTCCTCATCTTTGTTGCCATATTTATCACAACGTTTCGGCTTTCTTCAGGTGGTTAGAATGTCAAACTAAACCCAATCTGAAGACAGATACTGAAGGAATTATTTTGTTTTGTTGTTGGCTTGTTTCGCAGCATATCAACTTCTTATGGATCATTTAATGCCAAAATTTAATTTTCTTGGGAATATTAGTAATTTCTTTTACAAAACTGTTAAGCAATGGCTGGTCTGGTCAGAACTTAGATGGGTGACTTTTTGGGAATACCAGATACTGTAAGCTTTTATGGGTGGTGTAAGAGATAATGGAATAGGGATAAAGGCTTGGAATTGTTATTTAGAGAGTCTTATCAATTCCCTTATATTCACTTATGTACAAATACCCTTGAGTATGAATCCACCTCTTCTCCCCCAGCTATGGGTTAAATTAGTAAGACTTGTATCACTAAAACTATTATTACCTCAAATAAATATAGCATACAAAATATTTAGATTTTGGGATTAAATAATCCATAGAGATTGATATGATGCTAAACACAAAATATAAACCAAATTAACTTCATAAAGAGTTATCTGTACTTTATTTTATTTTTACAAATGTCAAATTTGAAACTGATACTTACTGATATTCCTACTGTTACTCTTTTTTTTTTAAATTCATAATAGTATATAGTTATCAAGGATATAAGCACAGTTTCAAAATTTAATTTTCTTGTGGGCATTAGTAATTTCTTTTACAAAAATGTATTGCTGGTATTTTTATTATAAAAATGTATTTTTATACTTTGATAGTGTTTTTACCCCAGTTGATGTGAGGTGGTAACTATTTGCAACATAGCTGGGGCCAAAGAGGGATATAGGGTTTTAACTGCAGATAACTGATATCACAAAAAAAACTGAAAATGCAAATAATCCCCTAGCGTCAACTGAATAATTCTGGATGATAGCATGGTCTACATCAATATTTGGATATATGAAATGTATTTTTAATTTTTTTGTTCATGTAGAACTATCTCAAGAGCTCCAATATATTTTTAAGCATATTTTGATGATCCAGTATTTACTTACCTCACCATAGTTGGCAAGGATATGACACAAAGTCCTTATCAATGTAGGATGTCTATACATGCACATATGAACCAAGGACAAAAAATGCCAGTCTTCATGACTACAGTCATGTAGGTGTTGGTATCAACCAATTTTCACTCTTTAGTGCAATGAGGGAGGTGCTGCCACAGGGTTGGAATTCCTGTGACTAGACATTCCTCAAAACTTTTCTGTGAACTGTCCAAAGACAGAGACATGAAAAAGAAGTGAAGAACAGATACTGCACTTTGGTCCCAGCTTGAAGTACATGCAACCCCTGTACAGGGCTCTAGCCTGTCAGCAGTTTTACCACAATTGGAAAGAGACAGTTGAAACTTCTTGGACACATAATGAGAAAAGAGGGCTTGGAAAATTTGACACTCATAAGACATATTGAAGGCAGGAAGGACAAAGGAAAACATTGAGCAACCTGCCTAATGAGCTTATATAAATGAATGGATGGTTGGACAGCAAGGGATGCAATAGCAAAAAGGCAAAGAAAGATAGAAAATAGAGAGCCATGATCGCCTATGTCCAGAGCAGATATGGTGCATAAAATAAGCAGAAGAAGGAGGAGGAGGAAGAGGGGAAGGAGAAGATGAAGAAGGAAGAGGAGGAGAAGGAGGAGGAAGAAGAAGAAGAAGAAGAAGAGGAGGCTGGTACTCATTTATATGCCTAGGCTGAGTGGGGAATTGGGATAAAGTGTTTTCCCAAGAGCACACCACCAGAGTTTGAACCAAGAACATCAGAATCAAAACTCTAGGGGTTTAGACAAATCGATCACAGTTCCACTTTGAATTAAAGATCTGTAAAAATGAGAATAATAAATAAATAAGGTTTGGATGAAATGTCTGTTAGATAGCTAGATAGATGGATAGATATTAGCTAACAGAGACAGACAATTATATATATATATATATATATATATATATATATATATATATATATATATATATATATATATATATATATAAAACATATTTAGGCAGCAAGTATTCATCCAATCACATTTGATTAAAAAGAACCAACACTGTTTTTTAGATAATTGTGCTTGAAGTTGTGGATAAAGTTCATATTTTGTTCTTGTTGCTTTCGGCTATCACAGTCATTATCAAGAGCAGATGTGGTGTCTGTGTGATCAGCAGAATTACTGTCTGCATGTTGGTGTTCTTTGGAAAGCTGGACATTTGAAATGGTCAAGTGTGACGTCATGTGTAACAGCTTTTGGGAATGAGGCCGTACAAAAAGAATGCACTTCTACCTATTTATTTTTATTTTATTATAATACTAAAAAACATGCACACATTAATTCTATGTACTTTAAGATACCTTCTCCTGTGGTCAATGGTATTTTTTTATTTAATGGGGACTGTTTATTTTGCATATATAAACATATACATATATATATATATATATATATATATATATATATATATATATATATATATATGTATGTAAATAAATAAGCTGGATGAGTACAGCTGCTACATTTATAAGTTTATTAGTATATATATATATATATATATATATATATATATATATATATATATATATAAAGAGAGAGAGAGAGAAAGAGAGGAGGAGAGAGAGATAGCAAGAGAGATTGGTGGGAAGATGAACAGAGATAGATGTATAAATAGATAGGTAGGTAGATAGATAGACGAATTGGCTGAGATAGACAATTAGCTAGATAGCCATAAAAAAGATTTTATATATATATATATATATATATATATATATATATATATATATATATATATATATATGAGGAGGCATGGTGGAGTAGTGGATAGTGGCTCGGATTGAGGTATCAGAGAGCTGAGTTTAAATTCCAGTTAAATCCATTACATTCACTTACGTACTAATACCCTTGAGTAAGGTATTAATCCTCTTCTTTTCCCTCCAGTTATAGGTAAATAGCAGGACAGACTGGGTTCTATAGCCTTGGATGGCAACTGGTCTAGGAGAAGGACAACTCTGAATTCAAAAACCTGCGGAGGGTTTTTTGGGGACCTTGTGGCATACTGTGTGCACCAGGTCTCTGTATTCGACTCTTCAAAAAGTGTGGTTGGTTCTGCACAAAACCTTCACCACTATAATCAAAGCATATGTGCTGGTGTCTGGCTGTTGGTTCCTAGGAACTGAGCTGAGCTGCTTGATCTTCATACATTGAATACAACAGGAGAGTCCACCATACACACACACACACACAAATATATATATATATATATAGATAGATAGATAGATAGATAGATAGAGAGAGAGAGAGAGAGAAAGAAAGGTGGGGGCAGATAGATAGATAGATAGATAGATAGATAGATAGATAGATAGATAGATAGATACTTTTGATAAAATGTAATATATAATAATACAATTAATAATGTAGTTGGATCATATATAGCCTTTAGATAGGCAGCCGAAATAAAGAGTTTGGGTTGAAATATCTGTAAAATTGTTATTAGTTTTGACTGTTGATTGCCAGGGCTTCATAGCAACCCCATAATGCTTGAAATAGAAACAACAATTGATTTAACAGTAAAAAGAATCCAAATGTCATTTGTGTTTTTATTAAGAGTCATAACTATGAAGACCAAAAACACAATCAGAGCTGCAGTTGGGAAAATTGTTTTCTCTCCATGTAAATACACCAACATTCATTTTTATTTGCATTTGGAGAAGACTTGAAAGTTCATAGATGAAAATCTTTTCACTGCTTTTTTGGTTGTGTTCTCTTAATGCCAATTTTTGGTTTTCATTCTTGTTTGTCCTTTCTATAGAAAGTGAAGGAGATCGAAAATGAAATAGAGAGAAAGAATTAGATTGGATTAGATAGATAGATAGATAGATAGATAGATAGATAGATAGATAGATATGAAATGGTGAGACAGACATAGATAGATAGATATGAGCAGACTGAGATAGATAGATAGATAGATAGATAGATAGATAGATAGATAGATAGATAGATAGATAGATAGATAGATAGATATGAAATGGTGAGACAGACATAGATAGATAGATAGATAGATAGATAGATAGATAGATAGATAGATATGAAATGGGTGAGACAGGCATAGATAGATAGATAGATAGATAGATAGATAGATAGATAGATAGATAGATAGATAGATAGATAATGAAATGGGTGAGACAGACATAGATAGATAGATAGATAGATAGATAGATAGATAGATAGATAGATATGAAATGGGTAAGACAGACATAGATAGATAGATAGATAGATAGATAGATAGATAGATAGATAGATAGATAGATAGATCTGAAATGGCCAAAAATGGATATAGATAGATATAAATAGACCAAGATAGATAGAAAGATAGGTAGATAGATCTGAAATGGCTAAAATAGACATAGATAAATAGATAGATACATCTGAAATGGCTAAGATAGATAGATATGAATAGACCAAGATAGATAGATAGATATGAATAGACCAAGAGAGATAGATAAATAGATAGATATGAATAGACCAAGAGAGATAGATAAATAGATAGATATGAATAGACCAAGATAGATAGATATGAATAGACCAAGAGAGATAGATAAATAGATAGATATGAATAGACCAAGAGAGATAGATAGATAGTAATAGACTGAGAGAGAGATAGAAAGATAATAGTACAAGAAAAGGAAAGTGATATGAAGATGAATTTAGTGAAAAATTAAAAGCTATTAAATCATCTTGTAGCCATTGTGTAAATCTGTAAATCTACATGCATTTTTATGTGGGTTGCCTCCAGATCTACCCCCCACTTTTCCATGTTTCCACTGACCTTTACTCCTTTTTAGTTCCTTTGAGAAATCCTGAAATGAATTTTCCTACCTTATCCAAATTCAGGACAAATCCAGTGACAAGCAACCAAGAATGAGAATGGACAACTAATAAATTTGTGAAGTTTTTTGACTAAATGTTCAAGAGGTGGAGTAAGTAAAGGATTGAGTAAAGAAAGTTTTATAGACATTCACAGTCTTCTGGATTGATCTTTGTTCCATTTGCTTTGAACTTATTCCTAATGCAAGCAAGAGTGATTGGCATTGATGGATCTGTTTGAAACTCTATTCTAAACACTTCAGCTACATTCTCACACTTCCCATATCACTTTAGGTTAAATTTCCTTTTCTCAAAGCTTAATTTCATTTCTATCTTAATTTTTGATTAAGTACAATAAAAAATCAAATTTCCAACGAGTAATGAGCATAAGACAAGGATATGACTTCTCACTGGGTTTTATTCAACTTTTACAATAAAGAGGACTAGGAGTCCTACCAGGATTCATTACTGGTGGGTACCATCTTAACAGCATAAGATATATAGGTGATACTGTGTTGATGGAATTCACAGAAAGCTAAGTACAAGAAATCCTAGAAAACACGGTAAAGGAAAGTAGAGATTAACCTTCAATTGTCAAAAGAGAAAAGGTTTGGTTGTTCCAAGAGAAACAGTGCAATATGCAAGCTACAAATGGAAGTAGCCAAAATCTAACAAATACAGAAGTTTCAATATCTGGAAGGATGACGGGAAATGTGACAGTAAAATCCAAAGAATAGAAAAAAAGATGCCTTTCAAAAACTAAACAAAGAATCAATTAACACAAAAATCTCAATATCCTTCTGTCGAACCACATTCCTATTAAATTTCTTCCTTTCATCTGGCAGTGAGTGTTGGATAAATTCCTCACAGATGAAAGGAAGACTTGAGGCAACAGAAATGTGGTTCTACAGAAGGATGCTGAGAATACTATGGAGGAAGCATGGGAACAAGAAGAAAGAATTAAATAAAATGCACAACAAAAATGGACACTAGTGCTTAGAAACAGACCAGAGAATGTGAGGGATAATAAAAAGATGAATATTGCTCATGTCTACAAAGGATAGGAAGTTGTAGAGAGCCATGATCACCCACGTTCTGAAGGAACACAACACACAGGAGATGAAGAATTGGAATATAAAATTATGTATACATTTTTATTGGATAACCACCAATTGCTGTTGGCACATGGCCAAGTGTTTAAAACATCATTATTGTGACCATGAGGCCTGGATTCAAATCTCAGTCAACCAATTAAATGCTATACATGATACACCCTTGGGCGATTCTGTTACTTTCAATACATGCTTGACTAGGCAGAAGCTTTTCCCACAGTAGTTTGTCATTTCTTTGGTAGACTGGTTGCCAATCAAGGCTATAGAACCGAGTCTGTCCTGCTATTCAACAGATAGCCAGAGGGAGATGAGATGGATTTGTACCTTTCCTAAGGGTATTTGCATATAAGTTCAAATCTCACTATGGTTAATTTGTCAAAGAAGTGACTTCTTGATTATAACAGCTTGAGATGACAATCCTAACATGTGACATTATCAAGATGTATATGAAAGCTATACAATGGGTTAGCCCAATTCTTGTGAATGAAACTGGATTGATTAAACTGTTCAGAAGTCGCTGTTGGTAATCTTAACCTGAAGTCACAAGACTGGAAATTTTAAAGTTTCTATTGGCAGTCATGTTCTTTTATTTTTTTTAAATTTAATAAATTTAAAATCCAGATATTTCAGTCAATATCTGGCATGTTTATGTTTAGATGTGTATCTTGAGTGATGTAAATTGTTTATTCAGTTTATTGCACAAAAATAAAAGCCAATTGCTCTTTTCTCAACATAAAGTTTATCAAACAAAATATTTATGATTTTCAAAGATCCTTCAGGCAAGCTTATTGATTCCAACATCCTAGACATTTTTTTTCATCTTTCTCAATAAAAAAAGAATTCAAAGTGCCTTTTGCAGGCTTTCAAGGAACTGATATTTTTTTTTCATTCAGAGAACTCTGGAAAAACCAGAAGAGTAATCTGAAAATACAATATTTGAAAAATACAACACAAAACTTTCCAACCAAACTGTAACTATTCTTTTCCTTGTCAGACAATAAACATTACTATTTAAAAACATACAGATAGAATATTACACTTTCTCTCTTAAGTAATTCTTGATAGAGTTTTGTCAGTTTCCACCTTCAGTTGGTTTTACTAAGAGCAGTATTTATTTTAATGGACGGTTTTCTCCTCAAAAAGGAGCTGAAAGTATAGGACACTTTTCCAGTCCCACTATATATATATATATATATATATATATATATATATATATGTCTGACTATGAGTCCTCCTACAAAGGGGGACACAGGTTCAAATCCTTCTTTGTTAAATTTTCTTGAATGTGCAGAACAGTAGAGGAAATAAAGACACCAATTGCACTGCGTGTAACACCAATGCTCAGCTGATCAACAGGATTAAGGAAGCAATTGAGGCTCTCCCTAGGGACATTGTGAAGGCTGCATGTGCCAGATTCCAGAGTCAGATTGAGGTTACGGTAAATGCTGAGGGTGACTTCTTTGAGCCAATTGTCTTTTGATTATTATAACGTGTATGCTACTTCTCTATTTTTATAATAAATTGATTTTTGGCTTAGATATTCACTTTGTTTTCCATTTCAAAAAATTGTCAAATTTAGCCTGAACACTGTATATATATAGCCACACATCCTCTTGTTAAAGATCTGCTTTTGATAAAGTTAGCAGGGGTTCATTTCACTTGACACTCAATTACATGCATTCCATATTTCATCAATGCCTGATTACATTTTACACTTTATACAAAATGAAAATCTAGTAACTAAACGGATTTAAAGTCATTTTATTTTTATCTGGATTTATTTTCTCCCCACAGAATATTGAGCCTTGATGTAAAGTGGTAACCAATCAGAGGGAACCTTACGGCACACGCATAAGCATATACTCTCCTGTAGGGTTGCTCATTCAGCATTGAAATGCCATTTAGTAGCCATCATATTGACAATGATCAAGCAAATAGATACTTCACATCAGATGCAAGAAACTTGGTATAATATCGCCTCACTGTCTACAGTCCAGATTTTTCTCCAAGATAAAATTGTTATTGGGACATTGTTGATGAGATAAAAGCGACAGTGACAAGGTAGATGATGGTAGACCTGGAAGTGGGCATTTTGAGCTGTTTTGAAAAGTGTATGTACATTTGAAAAGTGCATGAGTTTGGATAAGTGTACAAGCTTCTAATTAGAGCTTCTTGAAGGGGACTAAAGAGCCATTGTCATAGGTAGGTTATTTTCTTTATAAGATAGCTGGCTACTTTCTGGACGGACATCATGTTTCATTTCATTGATTCATTTATGTTCACTCATTTTTGTTAGTTTCTATCTTCCCATTCTTTTATTTCCATAATCCTTCATCTTTCTATTTTAGAAATCATTTCATTTACTTGCACAGATTGTTTTCCGATGAGAAAACGCTGAAGAAAAGAGAGAAAAAAAATGGATAAATCAATAATAGTCGCATGAATTCTGTAAGAGAAAAACTGTTTTAGGCTCTTCCCTCACTTGCCCAATGCATTCATATCTGTCAAGTTCATTTGTAATCTGTTACTATTTAAGCATTGCACATGTTATATAGTTGGCCGAGTGGTTACAGCATTCATGTTCAGATCATGAGCCCAGAGTTAAATTTTCAGTATCATCTATTTGTTGAGGACGTGAATTCTTAATAATATGGGGAAATGATACTAGCAAGCTGTACCACTAGAAAGAGCCTAAAATCCATATCATATGTTGACCTAAGCTTGTGAAATTCTTTGGAAGGTGTTCATTGCTGTGCTAGTATGAAATCATAAGACATTGTGATCAAGGGTTTGAGTGTACAGGCTTTGTTCAAACTGGTGACCATGCCAAACTATACATTCTCTTCCAGAAACTGTAGCACATGCTGACTCAGCAGAGTTGCAGTAAAAAACAGGATAACTGTGTTGAACAAACAAACACAAATATGCCTGAGTATGTGTCTGCAATGGGGATTAGCTAGCTACCCAAGCAGACATGCACACTTGGATACATGCAATCAGCCATACCATTTTATATGCAAGTAGGGTCATTTCACACTTCTTTCATGTGCTGTGTTCTTTCAAGACGTAGGGGATCATGGCTCTCTACTATTTCCTATTTTTGTAACTCAAAATAATGTTTGTCCCTTTACCATCTTTCCCACTCACTGTCTTTACTGTTCATTTACAAAAACACATTAGACAAGTTATTCATCATTTCACTCTGCCCTTCTTGCCTATAATATGCTCTGTGTGAGTCAAATTCTCCAAGCCCTCTTTCCTCACTATGTGTTCCTATAAATTTCAACTTTCTCTTTCTAATTCTTTATATGTCTATTTTGTTTCCATTTTCCTAAAACTTCTCTGAATTTTTTTTAATCAATTCACACCAAGCAAGGCAATAAAGTCACTAAGACATATAGGCTTACAGAGTGCGAGAGAATATGAGAAAACAAAACAAAAAAGGATAGAGAACAATAAAAGAACAACTCATTTCATTTCGTCAAATTTATTTACAAAATGAAGTTTCTGCAGTTATATATCGAAATGGGTAGTATGCACCAGCTCTGTATATATATATGTGTGTGTGTGTGTGTCTCTCTCTCTCTCTCTCTCTCTCTCTTCCCCCTCTCATCCTGGGTATGACGATAAACTACATCCGCGTCCAGAGTAAGACAATAAACTACGTCCAACAGCAAGGCCTCTGATCAGGAGGTTTTGAGGAGCGTAGAACCACCTCTTAATTGCTGGTGTTCCCAGTTTCACCCTGACCCAGTGTGGTAGCACCTGTTAGTGTCCCAGCTATGGGTAAATAGTCAACCCCTAAACTGAAGTAAAAAGCATTATGAAAGTGTAAAAATAGGTTTTCATACCAGAAATACTTTGTAAAAACTTATTACCAGAAATAAATTTTTGAAGAAAAAAAAACTATTACCAGGAATACGTTTTTGAAAAAAAAATATTACCAGCAATACATTTTTAAAATTATATTAACAGCTATACATTTTTGAGGAAAAGATATTACCAGAAATAGATATTTGACAAAACAAAAATATTACCAGGAAAAGAATTTGTCGGCATTAAATGACCCATTGAGGTTGATATGACGTAAACCAAACCAAACCAAACCAAACTCTTCCCTTTCTTCTCTCTCTCTCACCTCTCTCTCATTTTTGTTTCTCTCTCTCTCTCTCTCTCTCTCTCTCTCTCTCTCTCTCTCTCTTTATTCCCAATGAGGTCTTGAGATTGTCATATTTGCCAACAAGGTGACAGCTATCAATTTCTGTAATAGAGGATTATGTAATATATAACATATCTGATGTCATATAAAACATATTTTGTTCAAGAAATGTCTAATAAATATCTTTAAGCATAAAGTCTAATCATAAAAAATCAATATAAATTTGTATAACATGAAATATCATATATCAATGTCAAAATGACATAAAAATAATTTTATTGTTTGTCATAATATTACGATACCTTTGAATTAGATGGTAATACTGTTCTTGATACATAAAAATATATATTATCTCATCTCTATATATATATATATATATATATATATATATATATATATATATATATATATATATATATACATATATATATATATATATATATATATATATACATATACATATATATATACATATATATATATATATATATATATATATATATATATATATATATATATATATATATATATATATATATATATATAAATATTATATATATATATATATATATATAATATCTATTTTCATTCATCATATATATATATATATATATATATATATATATATATATATATATATATTGATCATTGCAAAAACTCATGCCTGATTTTCATTGTGTCCCAGTCAGGCACAACTTTTTTAGAATGTTATAATATATATATATATATATATATATATATATATATATAATGTCTATTTAGGCAGCTAGAATTTAATCAAACAAGTTTCATTAAATTTAACAGACAAGGTTGTATTTTTTCCATTTTTGAATAAATTGTTGCACATATCAATCAAATTTGTGCAAAAACTGTCCAGAGTTCATGTTTTTACTCTGATTTTAATCGAGTACTTTAAATTGTCTCTGCCATTATTAGGAACGTAATCTTCTGTCATAGAAAAAGATTTTGTTAGCTCCATCCTGTCATTGTTCTTTTTTTTTAATGTTACATATTTAAATATACATGTATCTTATAAGTGATTTCATGTATAGAATGGTTTAACTAAAATCAAAAGCATCAGATGAATGTTACTAAAGATTTTAGATACATTTTCAAATGACGTCCATTGTGGTAATCCATTCTCTTATAGGTATAATAATAGCTTCAATTATTTTATGTCTGTCTTTATATCATATTTTATTCTGCTGTTGATTATAACATGATGATCGATATGTGCACGAATTGAATTAATTTTTGATAAGTGACAAGTTAACCTACGAGAAAGTGTTATATTTGTGTAACCAATGAAAGGATTTAATGATACTTTTTGATTTTTGATATCAGAGATAATATCTCCCCAAAAACATGAGAATACATAAATGACAATTTTTTTTTGTTTTATTTTTTATATTAGATGTTATAAACATTCTATAGTAAAGCTAAATCTGAAGTATTTATTGTAATCATTAAATTTCTATGAATTATTAGAAAGATACAATAAACAAATTAGACTGATAAATCTTTTTGGTTGATCAAATGCTTAGTTGACATGTATCTCAAGGTGGTAGCTACTTTTCAGAATACTGAAGAGCTATATTGCACTAAATGGAGTCAACACTAAGCAACAGATTGGAGAGACCTTTCCAGAGGAATGTCATTCACTTCCTAGATTTTACCAGTGATTTCAAGTAAATCAATAATGCAGCTTTAGCTGTCATCGATCTCTTTTATAGTCTAGATAGGATTAGAGTTGGAATCGCAAAAGCCACAATTCCAGAACCTGGAAAGTACAGTAAATCATGTTCTTTTCAAAAGCAAAAACAAATGGCAAAATGATGCAAAAAGCTAATCAGGGGTGACAACTGCAAGTTTCAATGTCATCTATTTTTCATTTAGGATCTTGTTTTATATCACTACAGGGACAGCTAAGAGCATAATTAGTCACAGTATATACAGTCATACTAATATCACAATCATTGTTGTTATTATCACAACGTTTCAGCCATTATGCCTTCAACCCTTCTTCAGGTGCTTTTCAATCTGGGCAACTTTCATGGAATTTCAAACATTCTTAATATTATAAGATACAGAGATGACACACCATTGATTGCAGACATAGAAAGGAAACAAGAAGCACATAGACAAGGTAGTTAAGGAAATCGAGAATAAAAGACTATTGTAAGAAGACAGAAGATATGTTCATTAGCAAGATGAACAGCACTAGATGCAAACTTCAAAGAGATGAGAATCGAGTAAGTACAGAAATGTAACTGGGTAGTTATGTGATACAGAAATCCAAAAATGCATTGGAATAGAGAATGATGCCTTCCAGAAGCTAAGCAAAGAATTAAGAAACAGGAAAATTCCATTAGAAAAAATAAAACAGTGCCGAACTGCAATGTAATAGCCATCTTTGTATAATGCAGTGAAAGTTGGTCAATTTCCTCACAAAGGAAGAAGAGACTTGTAGCAACAATGATATGGCTCTACAGAAGGATGCTAAGAATACCATGGACAAAAAAATGTGAGCACCAAAGATGCTTTATGGAAAATAAAAATAAAGACACTTACATTTAGAATCAGAAATGGAGAGTTGATATTTCTAGAACATATAATGAGGAAAAAAGGCTTGAAGAATTTGACACTCATGAGGCATATTAAAGTCAAGAGAAGCAGAGGGTAACATTGTTTAAACTACCTAATGTTCTTGTGTAAACAGATGGAAAAACAAAGAATCGGAAGTTGTGGAAAGTCACAATTGCACACGTCTTAAATATAGCATGGCACATAAGAGAAGAAACTGTGTGAATGATTAACTTTCTAGTTTTGTAAAAAAATATTAGTGTTGAAGACTTTAGCTTCTCCACGTCCTTGTGGGTGATGAATTATTTTCCACCATACAACCCCTTTTCCACAAATGAAATGTCACAAAAATCTCATTGCTCTATCACTATTTCCATAAAAAGTGTACAGACAAACTACCTTCCTTTGTTCGACTAATTTTACAGCTAAGACCCACCATATTATGCCAGTTATAGCAGATCACTCTCATTTCCTTTGTATTCCATTGGTGAGATGTAAGTTCCACTTGAGCAGATTCTGCTCACGAATTGGTGCTTTGTGGAACCAACTCCCAAGAAGATGCTTCCTCAGTCACTACAATCTTGACCTGTTTAGCATTAACCATTATTTTCCCCACATAAACTGTGCCTCTTACTCTGAAACCCTGGCTCTCAGGCCTTGTACAGGGTGAATATCATTGTAAAAAAAATAATACTATTT